CTACATAAATATATTTTCAAAATTTTTGATTTTAGAGTAGCTTTCTCTTCATTTACTATATACTCTTCAAACAAATTAGCAAAAGTATAAGCTCTACCATTTTAATGCTAAAAAGCCTCGAAATATTTCATAACTTTTTTACTCAAATTTTAGTCTTAATCTTGCACACGATTTACGCCCATTCATTTTCTATTATGATATTTCGAAATGGCTTCATTTTTTTCTTAATGCTGACCAAAATTTAAAAACTATGCTAAAATTATTAAAAATTCTATGTAGGCTACTAGCCTGCGTAGTAATTTTCTACGTATATAGTCTACATATTTGCCACGCCTAGGCATAGATGATCCAAATTTATAATTGATTAATGCTTTATTATAGGAGTTACCCTATATTTCAAATAATCCTACCAGTTTATATCCAGTATTCTACTCAAAGAATCTTCTATGAGATGTGTAGGCTACATAGCGTATGTAGTAATTGATTCAAATTTTATTCAATTACATGATTTTATTTATATATATACCACAAGTTTAATCAATTGACAAGATAAATGATACTTTGAAATAGATTGCATAAGATAATTGATAATTGGGCAAATATTATAAAGTTTGTCACTATGCTTGGATCCTTAATACGAGTCTAATGATCATACTATGTTTTTGGTTTAAGCACAATTATGTTGCCATCTTTTATACCCAGTAAAAATATAAAACTGTTTATACTTTATTATTAAAAAATTATTTATAATTAATTTTTATTTTTTTACCAGGTATTGGGCTAAGTGTCAATTAAATTTTTAAATAAAAATTTTTGTTAAAAAATATTTTTTTTAAAAAAATAAAATCTGTTGCTGGGTTACTAAAGGTTAGTTGGTGATATGAAAACTGATAAGTTTGTATGATCTTATTAAAAAATTTTTATATATAAAATTTTTTATTGAATATTTGAGTTGTAAGATGACAAAAATTCAAAAATAAATTATTTTTTTATTAAAAAAATTTTTTTAAAAAAAAAATTAAAATCTGGGTTAGCAAGTTACAAGAGGCTAGTTGGTAATATGAAAACTGAAAATATAAGTTTGTATAGCTTTAGGTGGGTTATAATAATATTTTTTTGCTTATATATAATTTTTTTTTTAAGGTAAGGTTGTGCCTCGTGTCTTTTATTAACACAATATGCTGTTTTTACAATTTTATTTGAATTTATATACAGAACTATATATTAGAAGATCATGAGACTTAGACTATTTTATCTATAACCTAATCCCTTACCTAAATCAACTGTGTCCTGTTCATGTATGATTAGGATTTTGTTGCACTTCAAACTATTCTTATTAGTATTCTATATATATTTATCACATTACTCACTTAAGCCACAAATATACTTCCAAATAGGTATTGTAATCAAAACTTCTTATATATAATTTTTTTATCCAACTATAATTTATTTTTAAAGTAATGTTATTTTGTCTTATAATAACTATAAAAATTATTTATTATATTTTTTATATTTAGGAACATAAAATGAGCACTAAAGATAGCATTACCTCCAAGACTAATAATACTATTCTCAAAACTAACTATAGCACCATCCCAAGACTAATGATAGTAATGCATCAAGATTAATGATTTCAATTTAGAAAGTGATCAAAAAAAGCTATCTGATGTAGGCATAATTCTTAATTATTGATTATTATGCAATTATTTCAGTATTAATCTTATAACTTTTTTAAAAATAATAAAAACTAATAGTTATTATAGCCTTTAATTTTTATTTGTATTTGTATTATTTTATTTGTATATTACTATTTTGGCAAAAAAAATTTATTAAATAAAGAAGAAGGTTTTGTGGCCTTCTTATATTTTATTTTAATATAATTTTTATTGATATAAAATAAATATAAAAAATAAAATACAGAATACCAACTTGAATTATTCTATAAATTAAGACTTGAAGAGTCATTGTTTTATAATAATATTTATATTCAAAAAATATTAACTATATAATTTATAACTCCATTAGTCAAAAACATTCAAAAAGAATGATACAAAGACTTAGCCAATGAGGTAACTACTAAAGACTAAACAGAAGCCTTAGAACAGACAAAGAATTCTTCTGCATCTGGCTCTACAGGAATCTTCTATTCACTTATTAAAAATATGAACATATTTGCAGAAGGATTATTCAGAAAACTAGCAGACAAATACTTTGAACTAGGAAAAATACCAATAAAATGGAAAATTGTGATGTTATACCTAATCCCAAAAAGAGAAGACTAGAATCATAACCTTAACAATATACAGCCTATTTTGCTTCTAGAAATATTCAGAAAAACAGTAGTACAAGTACTTAACAACAGGCTAGGAAGGAGGTTAAAGGAGAAAGAAATCTTAAAAGAAAGGAACTATGCTGGCCTATCAGAAGAAAGAACAGCAGGGCCTATACAAAGATTAAACAGCATAATAGAGAATGCAAGAAAAAACAAAAAGAACTCTAAATCTTATTTCAAGACATGAAGAAAGCTTTTGACTCAGTTAGCATTGAAATGTTGAAACTGGCTCTAAAGAAAATCAAGTTACTCCAGAAAACTTAGGACTTTATAATAAACCTATATGAGAACAGAGAGATAGAGGTAATTACAAAGCATAGAAACACAGAAAGGTTCAGAGCTGGAGATAGCATAAACCAAGGGAAGTAATTTCTCCTCTAGTCTGGAGAATATTCTATGATCTGCTACTTGCACATATACAAGAAAACAAAAAGACCCAGAGACCTAAACAATGTAACATTATGGCACATTTGTAAACTACCCCAAAATTTAAAAAAGTTTGACTATGGATAGTGTGTCAATTTAATTGACATCATATATATGTATAGTTATAAACCAATACTTATTTACATGGGCTTTTTCGGGTCACATGATGATCGATGGCAAATTTATCCAATGGGAAATCGTAATTAAGTATAACGTAATACGATCAAGAAAGTCCAAAACAAACATTCGTTTTGACAAAAAACATCCTATCTCAAGAATTTCCATAAGAATTCGCCTTTTATGTTCTAATTAAAAGTTTTTCTCGAATAATTTTACTACATTTTTTTTTATCTCCAAACTCTAAATACAGCACTTTAACGATTTTAAGATGCTTTGTTGCTTATCACATGACCGAAAAATTCGTGGCCGCCCTGGTGGATTCCTCGTAACAATAGAAGATCGACTAATAATAATCACAAACACCCAACCTATAATCTTCAAGATAGCCATGCTCATAGTATTAAGGAGTATCCGTCAAATACCTTCCTTGAGTAAGTAATAAAAAAAAACATAATAATCATAATAAAATTAATAAAATTAATAATATTATTAATATTAATTATATAATTTTTGTAACATCAGCATTAAGCATCTTTGAAAATTGGGTCTTACTGAATAAATATACTCCATAATTATTACAAAACAAAGAGAATTATTTAAATTCTAAATAAAACTCGAAAGCATTATTTCCATAATGCGTTTTTATTTAAAATTATTGTTACAAATAAAATGATTCTATGATAAAAAATATATTTATTAACATGAGGTTAAAATTATATTGTCGATCCGCCCATCTATGTTGCCTTTGTGTCCAGAACCCAAAGCCAGTCTCTAACTTTAGGTACACAATTATTAGGGGATAATCTTAGTTTGTGTAGCTCTTTAGTTTGATTTTCAAGTCCATCCTAAAGATTCAACAAGAAAGGTTACTTTGAAGCTCTTGATAAATTTATACATGAATATATATGGAAAATTCTTACTATTAGTGCATATAACAATTCAAAAACCTCCAAATAGTCGGCAACTTCAACAAAAGAAAATGGTAATCAGGCAGATTTAATTTGTGCAGTGTTATAACGATATTTTTCAATAAGCGAAAAATTGCATAGCGTTATTCTGTCTCCTAAACAAATATTATATATAAGAAGATAGAAAAACAGCTTATATAGAGTAATATAATAAAATATATTACCAATACATTGTATAATATAAACTTTTATGTTCTTTGCTATTTCAGCAGATTTATCTAAATAATTCCTAAGTATTGAAACTAATCCGAATGTTGCTTCTTTTAAAAGTTTTTCTGCATCATCTTTTATATGTTTCTTATCAGGATCACTAGGGCCATCGGATACCTCAATAAACATTACTGCATGATTACTTGAGACCTTGATGCCAATACCGTCGGCTTTGTTAATAATTAAATCAAAATTCGGAAATGCCTTCTGCATTTCTTTAATACTGTTTACTTGGATCTCTATCCAGTGAAACTTATATTCACAGTATGTAGATTGTAATGCTTTGAAAAGTGGTACAATGCATTCTACAGTATAGGTTCTTTTACCAATATTACGTTCCAATATACTCTGTTGTGTCATATAATAACTAAATTTAAATTACATAAGCAAACTTGTTATACTAAATAAATCAAAATTTACAATAAAATAGAACACTCACAAATCACACAGAATCATTTCACATACAAGTCGAAAATGATGCAAATCTTTAGATTCATCGGATTTGAGTGGAGTCATAATAGCGGTTTTAAATTCTTCTTTATTGGCCTAGATAAGAATTTTGATGAGATACATCTTAAACAAAAATAAACTCTTTAACTTAACTTACCGAAAGTGCTCTGACAAGCCAGTCATGAATGATACTCAGAATTTGTATAGGAACCTCCTCTGTTTTTAAAATTGTATGCCGATCATTTGTTTTTATTTCTATATGATTGCGTAAATACTGAACTGATTTTTCGGAAAGAACTGGTTTTAGTGGAGTTATGATAATATCTGCCTCGTTGATTGGTCTCGGAGATGGCGTCCTAGGCTAAAAAAACATGTATTATTCATATATTATTTACATATATATTATTTACATATTATATTTTAGAGAAACCAAATCATATAGAATCAATCCTAATATGATAATTCATGGTTGAACTCTAATCTAAGTAAATATCAATTACATAAAGATAAATCTATAAATCTAACATTAACTTACAATTTGTTTTCCTTTATCGGTTTTTTGCTAAATTATTTATAGATATCTTTTTTAATGTTAACTTATAATATCATTGCTTCTTGCATTGATGCTACCTACTTCAGTCAGGGAATTTTCCAAATTTGGATGTCGACGATCATTCCTAATTTGGTAACAATCGACGATCAGATTGTTCTAG